GGCTATAAATGAAATTGCGCTGCATATTGATTTCAGTGAAAATTATAACTGTAAATGTTCTGAAGAAATACAATCTTATCATTTTGGCGGGTCCCGAAATCAAGTATCCATGCATACTGGAGTGATCTATAGTCGTGGTTCAGATAACAAGCTAGAGGTATCATCGTTTTGTACCGTGTCTGAAAACCTTTCACACAACCCTGCCGCAATTTGGGCTCACCTCCATCCAATCTTTGCTTCAATTCATGACAAATTTCCGGAAGTAAATATCCTGCATGTATTTTCAGACGGCCCAGCCACTCAATATCGACAGAAACAAAACTTTTATTTGATATGCACAAAGTTATTCTCTAAGTACAAGTTTACTAAAGTTACTTGGAATTTTTTTGAAGCAGGACATGGCAAGGGTGCCGCAGATGGGATTGGCGGTTTTTTAAAGCGTACTGCTGATCAACTTGTTGCACGTGGAACTGACATATCTGATGCTACAAATTTCTATCGTGCTTTGAAAGATGTAAGTAAAGTAAGACTATTTCTAATAACTAATGAGGAAATTGAACTGAGTTCATCGCAGATCCCAGAGTGTATCGTGCCATTATTAGGTACCATGAAAGTCCATCAAGTTTTTACTGAGGAAGCTGGAGTTCTAAAGTATAGATATTTGAGTTGTTTTTGTCAGCGCGGCTTTTGCTCTTGCATGAATCCCAAGCACTACGTTCCAATAAAAACTGCAGTAGAAAAATCAACTCCTACTACTTGCAACAAGAATTCTCTGTCCAATATAAGCAACCTTTGTCAAAAGCGAGCAAAAGGGTTTTACAGCATTGTTTACAGCTCAGATTCCGATGATGATGCCCCTCTGATATCAATAAAAGAAAAATCTTCCAGCACTTATTTGTCAGAAGAACCTAGCACATCAAAGCAAAATGACGATGCTTTGATTGAGAAGGAAAATATTCATGTTAAAAAAATAAAAGAAGGTATTTGTGTCTTGGTAAAAATTTCCAGTTTAAAACAGGACTATGTATATTTAGGTAAGGCCTTATCTGAAATAGAAGACGATGGTGAGGTCAAAATTATGTTTTTCAAGTCAATCGATCATACGGCTACAAAATTTAAATTAATTAAATCTGATTTATCTTATGTATCTTTTGATAATATACTTGCTATTGTTCCAGAACCTAAAAAAGTCCGTAAAGGTAAAAGAATATATTTCCAATTTGATACTGCTTTAGAGATATTTGAAAAATAATTTTCACTTTCAACTTACTTTTTCAAGAATATAAGATTTTTGTTCTTATATTGTTTATTATAGACCAGTCATGACGTTTATTGTCACTAATATTGAAGTTTATGTTTATGTTTTCAACTCTCAAGCTCAACCAAGTGAAATTTAGTCAAGTAAGATACAAAAAAAGAACAACTATGTTACTGCCGTCCACCTCTGTTACTTTTCTGTCCCAAAGATTGAAAGACATACCAAAGATGTTTATGAAAAGCTAATGATTATAATATGGTAATATAATAATACATAATATGTTAGATATTTATACAGTCATATTTTATAGTTAGCAGTTAATAAATAAATATTTAGAGTATTTCGGTAGAATTTAATATGCGTCAAAATTCAAAAAGTAACAGAGTTGTTTAGAATTAAAATTAATAATTGTTAAACTTAAAAAACAAATGTGATTCTAAATGTGATTATAAGATAAAAGACTTTAATTAACATTGATGCCAAAAAATTTGGTACTAAATTATTTAGTTTCATAATATAAGTTAAAACGTTATTATAACAGAGTTGTTTTATTTTTAGACCCTCACCTACAAAATACGGGATAAATAAAAAATCATCAGTTAAACATCGCGGCCGGCTGTAATAGTTAAAAATTTTGTTGTTTTAGTAAGCATGAACAAAAAGAAAAGTCATGTTTAAGAATTTTTGGTTTTTTAAAAGTTGAACATTTTTAGTGGCAGTTACCTGCGCAAAATTTGGCAATGACCCATATATGACATACTAATAATATAAAGAGGAAAGATTTGATCGTTTGTTTATAACGGATGGAAGTCTTTGGAGCAAGCAGTGGAAAAATTTCCCTTGGAAACAGTGCATAAATCCATTGATTCGTGGCCAGACAGATTAAAGGCCTGTATAAAAGCCAAAGGTGGCCATTTCGAATAGAATATTCTTTTATTTTTTCCTGAGATTTTTTTTAATAATAATAATGTGTATTTATTTATCTCACAACTTTTTTGAGTACAATGAAACATTTAAAATAATACCATAGATACATCAAAGTTGTAGTGAACTGGTGCCTGAACTGGGTATTCAAAAAACCCGTATCACAAGGCACCAGGACCCCTGCCTGGCATGAAACAATTTATGGCAATACATACAATGGAGAACTCAAAAGTTGTTAGGCGTAACAGATACAAATACAGTACGTACACATGAAAACACGTATACACACATAGTTATATGATATTCAAATGTCTAAATATCAATCAGTCACAACTGCATATACATTAGCAAGCAAAGGCAAATCCATCAAGTACACTGAGACAGAACAAAAAATAAGAATAACAATTAAAGAATAAAGAGTTTAGGAGGTAGGATGTATTAATTTTTCAATTTCATCATAGTGAAGCTGCTGGAGCCACTCTGTAACAGTTTTTTTACACATATATTTATTGGGGGCGAAGATTGATATTGTTGAGTTAATTGTTTTATAAAAGTAGGGCCCAAGAAAATCGTAATATCTCTGAGCAAACGTCGCATTATGTTTATCTTGTACTAGTGTTAAACGGCGGCTTCGGGTAATTAGGTCAGGATGGTAAGTCGAAAGTGAATGTTGTTTTAATAATGTAGATAGGAAAAATAACTGGCGCACTGTAAGAACTTGGCTTGACTTATAAAGATCGTGAGTAGGATAGCGAAATGGCTTGAAGGTTAATACTTTCAGTATGGTTCTTTGAGCTCTTTCAAGACTAATGAAGTTGGTTTTAGTAGTCCCACCCCATCAAGTTATACAGTAAGTTAAAATTGACTGGCATAGAGCCATGTATGTTATTTTCATAATTTTAGTATTAGTAATATAACATAGTTGCTTAGAAATGTATATTAACTTTCTAATACGCATAGTTAATATATCGACGCGCTTTAAAATTTAAATTGGTATCTAGTGTTACACCTAAGCAGTGGCGGCCTTAGGCGGTGGCGCTTCACAAAGGACTTCACAAAGACCCATTGCCCGGAGCCTCGCAATGGGTAAGGCCGCCGCTGCACCTAAGTATTTAATTTTTTTTTTCATTTAATGAGTTTCCTCTTGTCGGTGCAACTAATTCATGCAACTTCCTCCAGCATTTTATCCCAGGCCATATCCTTTATCTCCCTATACGACATGACGCCTAGTGTTTCCTTTATCTGTCCCAAAAAAAGTTAATCCTCGATCTTCCTCTTCCTTTTTTGCCCTCTATTTTTCCTTCTATTATGCTCTTAATAAAATCGTCGTATAAGGTGGCCCAGCATTTTGCCTCTTCTATTCTTTATTATTTTAATCAATGTTCTCTTCTCATTTACTTTTTTTTAGGACTTCCTCGTTTGTTAGTTTTTCTGTCCAGCTTATCCTTTCGATTCTCCTCCATGTTCACATTTCGAATGCCTCAAGCATCTTTCTTTCCTTCTGCGTCATTGTCCATGTTTCACACCCATATAATTGTCTTAAGTATTTAATTGTCTTAGTTATTTTTAAATTTTGACAGTTACAAGTCTGTACATCATTCCGGGGTGATAAACATGTATGAGCAAATAGTTTGTAGTTCCTAATACAATCAAAAATTTTGGACCAATACTTTTGAAAAGGCCTTACCGGTAAAGATAAGTGCAGTTTCATTGGCAAATGAAACAGCAGTGTCATTATCGAGTGTTAAGTCACATAGATAGTTGATGTAGGCAAGAAACAAATTCGGTCCTAAAACACTACCTTGTGAAACACCCATTTATACTGTTTGGTCGGAACTCGTAAGAGAGCCAAGCTTTACATGCTGAATTCGTCCAGTTGGGTAACTACGAAATAAGTCACTTTAATAAATATGTAGGTATACATTTTAGTAATATATCATTACTTCATAAAAAAATGCATTTTCATTTGTAATAAAACTTATGGCTGCACTAGGTATATTAAAATAAAAGTATTTGTCATCGATTATCAGAGTTTATTCTAAATAAATTCCATTGTGTCCACGACGAAACAATTAATAAGTAAATACGTTGCCACTGTAAAATATTCTATGTGACATTCGGTTTTTGTTTGTGTAAGAACACAAACACAATTAGTTGGGTTCAGTTAAAAACAATGTACTTAGGTGTTTAATGAAAAATGAAAAGAAAACGACAACGCAGTGTTCATTAGAAGACACCGTCACGTGTCTAGCCATAATAGGACTCCATATTTGATTGTAAAAATAAATACTCCTCACGACTTACCAGCATACCGCTCAACCAATCGTCGTGAAAGATACATTTGTGGTACTTCAATTGGAGAGATGTGATTTTCAGCAAGTGCAACTCCAACATCGAGTCCCCAGAAAAGTCGATGTCTCCGAACGATACAATAGAAGGGAGCATTTTGTAAAACGCTTCCTGGGTACATTCACTATTCTTGGGACTAGAAACCAAAGAGATTACCAGAATCACCCAGAAGGACGTTAGGCTACTTTTATCCCGGTCAATGTATGCTTTCATACAAACAGATCAAATATCAAGCATCAATACATATGACACAATGACCAAACGGACGGGTCGCACTACATGCGGCTCCCCCTGGAAACCATTATGCTTAATTCCTGGTGAATTCGTCACGATGAGCCAACTGGCCCGACTTTATACTATCATATAAGCTGGCGGAGGCCAGCTTATACCAATAGCGCAGACTAAACGACCACTCCATTATAATGTATTGAAAAAATCAGAATAGGGATTTTCAATAAAAAACAACTAATTAAGATTGAATTATTTATTTGGCATACCGAAATCAGTGAGGTTATAAATGCGAATGTTCGTGAGGATGTAATTATGGATAGACGTTTGTTACTCTTTCACGCAAAAACTATTCTACGGATTAAAATAAAGTTTGGTACACGGATGGGTTATACGGTAACTTAGACTATGGGATGCTTGATATGACTCACGCCACTGAGACCGCGGCAAGAACCTAATAAGCAATAATAGCTGAAACTCAGCGCTCGCCTTTGTAATATTGGTGTTAGGCATATTAAAATGAAAGGTTTTTCAAGATTAAAAATTCAAGAGGTTCAAATCTACTATTTCAGTACTATGGCTTTCATCACCTTTACATTTGACACTGCCGTCTTTTTTATGATGGTCTTCATCGTCGCGTTTCACGCGATTATTATAATGATTGTAGTTTTCGCCATTGTCAGCATCGCAGTGTTCACCATCGCCATTATTATAGTCTTTGTGATCATAATGGTCGACGTTTCCGCCATTATGTTTGTCATTGTCGATGTCTCCACAATTATCTTTACCGTTGCTTCCACCGTCGCCTGACCATGTTGAATCCTCCGCTGTACACATCTGGGGAGAAAAAAGTTATGTCACTTCAACACTTGTATTGAAAATATAAATTGAGAATGTGAGAGAAACGAAAAACATATTAACACATATGTTAGAGTGAGATAAACAAGTAAGACATTGAATTTCACACAATAAGCTCGAAAAGGATTTGGCGGCAGTGTGAGTAAAGTTATTCGGAACTAATGCAATCGTTTTTTCGTCTTGTTTTTATGATTGCATTGCCGGTCTGTCTGTGCGTGAGTCGTTATACTGCGTATACTCGTACTTTTTTTTAGTTTTGCTTTTACAGTGCTTGTGCTCAATAGTGTAATACATTACTTTATAAATAAAATGCATTTTCATTTGTAACAGAACTTATGGCTGAACCTATAACAATGTAATTTTCTATAGATAAAAGAATTTTCAAAAACGGTTAAGTAATTTTTGAGTCTATCCTTTACAAACAAACGATCAAATCTTTTCTCTTTATATTGTTAGTGTGTCATATATACTTTACGAATATTTTTTATTGAATCTTATGGCTGGACTAGGTATATGTATATAATATTTCAAATTTCTAATCGTATTATTACGATTAGAAACCACTTCAGTTGTGGAAAAACCTGTAATTTTGATTTAAAAACCAACCACCGAACCGATTTTGATAATGTTTGTATGGGACAAATCTATAAGTACATAAGAATTTTCCAATTTTTCAAATTTATAACTGACAGAGTCATGAGGTAACAAACGTAAAAAAATGTATGAAAAATAAAATTTTCTTACCGTCATGTAGACGAAGAGAACGAGCAATGTGATTCGTTTCATTTTGAAGAATGAGCAGGTATTGAAGAAACGTTGACTGGTCGACAGTTCAGCAAGCACCAACAACTTCCTCATACTGGCTACCTTTATATACTTTTTGTTTAGATATTAATTGCCTTTTTACGTTTGTATTTATTATTATTTTTTATTATACTTTTAATGTTAAGGCAAATGAAATATTTTTAATTATATTTTTTCTAATGTTACATAAAAACAAATTCTGCAATTATACTATATTTTCCATTATCAGTAAAACTAGAATGGTAACCCTGCTTGTGCTACCGCTATGCGCTGGCGGGACGCCAGTGAGGAGTGTTTTTTTTTTAATGGGTGAAAATGGTATGGTAACCCAAAGCGCTTGAGTGTAAATGGTCACGTACAGTGCGGTTTCAGAGCAATTTTCTCGTGCGGACGCTCAGGCTGGAATGAGCTCCCTGTAGACATTTTCCTTGGAAACTATAGTATGAGATTCTTCAAAAAGGGTCTATTAAGGTTTCTACAGGGTCGGCAATGCACACGTGACACCCCTGCAGGCGTTCATAGGCTACAGTGACCATTACCATCAGCTTACCATCAGACGGGCTGTATGTTTTATTGCTACCCTTGTGGTATAAAAAAAATGAAAGTCGTATCAAATTTGGGGCAGTAGTTCTTGCGTGATGCCAGAACAATTATAAAGACAGACAGGCGAGCAGATAAAAATGTATATACATATATATAATTTTATTATATGAGTAACATTCTACAAATAGCAAGTTTTTACGAGTGTACACATATAAATATATTATACTGACTTGTCGTCGTGAATCATACAGGATCCATTAAAAATATTCGTGAGGTACACATATGGGTCATTGTCAAATTTTGCGCAGGTAAACTTGTCCCTCGACTGTATTATTATTTTTACTAGTAATAATCACGTAATCTCTAACAAATTTTACATTAAATACAAAATATATCGTATTTACAAATATTGATTAAAAATAAATACAAATTATAAAGTATTTAGTATTTTTTTTAAGTAACATTATGGTCATTCTGGTAACAGAATGGTTTTCCCTTTGTGTCCCAAGTAGTATTCCGTTGTAATAAAAATCAAATAATTTATTTTTCTACTATATCAACCTACACTAAATAAATTATTACCATAAACAGAGTATTGTTAATATTAATAAAGTATGTCTTAAAACCGGTAATTATCAAAATGTAATTAATAACTTTTTTTTGAAACTATGTCCCGCATATTGTGTGAAACTGTGTGGACTACTACGTTACTGATTAAATCGCAACATAAAATAGAGATGGCGTTGCTCACACTTTGTACTACATTCATCAGTATGTCTGGAGTAATCGTGGTTCACCGTTAAATCGGAGGGAGGTGTACAGGGGGTGTCAGTGGATCGCCAGGCGTTGAATAGGCTACGTGTTTTTAATGTGCGTCTACTTTGTTACCTACCTATTTACGTAAGTAAACCATATTATTTTTTATTATTTTACGTTTAGTATGTTGTTAATAAGGTAAATATTATAAATATGAAAAAAAAGTGTACTTTACGCTTTACTATTTGACTTATGTCTTGTGGCATGTTATATTTACTACTCTGTTACTACGCAACTTTGTTACCAGCGCGTGGTTACAGAGTTGTTAAGAAAGTAACAGAGTTGAATATGCCTATATTCTTTAACTTTATACTTATATTTTATATTTCAAACTATATATGTTTAATAATCGGGTGTTTTTAAATTATTTATAAACTTGGTAAAACGTATGTATTTTAATAAACTTAAATATATTGTTACAAGATACTGCGTGTTACCTGTGATTTCAAGATGCCACTTACGCCTGCTGAAAAGCAGCGACGGTACCGAGAACGGCGTAAAAATAATCCTGAAAAGGAAGCAGAATCTAAAAGAAAAGATCGAGAGAGATACCATGCTAATAAACGCTTAGTACAAGACTTAACAACACGTGAACATCGAGCAATAAAAAAAAAATGGCGATCTGCAAATTCTAAACGGAGAGATAAGGCTAGAGCTCTTCGTATTGTCATGCAAATCCCAGAGTCATCACCTCCTTGTTTTAAAAGACCGGCCCCTCCAGGGCAGGACCAAATTACTCCAAATGCTGATCATTGTTTATCGACACCTCAGCTGTCTACTTCTTGTGAAAAAACTATTAGCTCTACTATATCAGCAGCTTCTCGTGGCAGAAAGCGCGTAAAAAGGAACAGATCGAAGTTATTTAGAGATAACATAAAATTAAAGCAACAGTTAGAAGTAATGAAAAAGAGGTGCCAAAAATATAGAAAAAGGTACAATAGAGCAAAACATAAGAAATCTGAAATTGAAGATGATAATCAAGAGCATCAAGAGAAATATGAGATTTTATCAAATGCTATTAAAAAACGATATGAGAATATAAAAAGTCGGAAAGAGAAATTTGCAATTCAAAAAATATTTGAAGATGAGGCTGTTAAATGTTCTAGGCAAAAAGTGCAAATCATCCAAGAATGTCTTGGTGTGAACCAAGGCTACATACGGAAAAAACAGCGTCTGCGTAAGAAAAAGCTTTTCAGTGAAAAAATTAAGGAATTTTTTTAACGTGATGACGTATCAAGAGCGACTGCTGGAAAAAAAGAAACCATTTCTTTAAAGAAAAATAAAATGCAAAAGCGCTACCTACTAGATAATATGAAAAATCTTTACCTTTCTTTTAAACGCGAAAACCCTACTATGACATGTAGTTACAGAACTTTTACCCGATATAGACCATTTTATGTTTTGTTTTCGACTGTTGCTGCAAGAGAAACATGTTTGTGTCGAATTCATATTAATATTCAATACTTGGCAATTGCTTTGTGTAAAAACAAAGTTACTGGAACCTCAGACATTAACAAGATTATTGTAAACCAAGTATGTGATCCAGATTCACTAGTATGTATGACCGGAATCTGTTCTGTATGTCAATTAACAGAAATTATTTATGATACATCAAAAGAAGAAATAATAGTAAAATATCCTCAATGGTTAACTAAAACTGAAGTGATAGAGAAGTCAGGAAAGAAAATCAAAGTTACAAAAAGTATCAAAGAAGAGATGAAGAGTACTGGAAAAGCTTTGATAGATAAGTTTAAAATTACACTAAAGGAGTTTAAAAGGCATGTATATTACATTAAGACACAGTACAGAAATTATAGAAAATGCATAGATGACTTGGCTATAAATGAAATTGCGCTGCATATTGATTTCAGTGAAAATTATAACTGTAAATGTTCTGAAGAAATACAATCTTATCATTTTGGCGGGTCCCGAAATCAAGTATCCATGCATACTGGAGTGATCTATAGTCGTGGTTCAGATAACAAGCTAGAGGTATCATCGTTTTGTACCGTGTCTGAAAACCTTTCACACAACCCTGCCGCAATTTGGGCTCACCTCCATCCAATCTTTGCTTCAATTCATGACAAATTTCCGGAAGTAAATATCCTGCATGTATTTTCAGACGGCCCAGCCACTCAATATCGACAGAAACAAAACTTTTATTTGATATGCACAAAGTTATTCTCTAAGTACAAGTTTACTAAAGTTACTTGGAATTTTTTTGAAGCAGGACATGGCAAGGGTGCCGCAGATGGGATTGGCGGTTTTTTAAAGCGTACTGCTGATCAACTTGTTGCACGTGGAACTGACATATCTGATGCTACAAATTTCTATCGTGCTTTGAAAGATGTAAGTAAAGTAAGACTATTTCTAATAACTAATGAGGAAATTGAACTGAGTTCATCGCAGATCCCAGAGTGTATCGTGCCATTATTAGGTACCATGAAAGTCCATCAAGTTTTTACTGAGGAAGCTGGAGTTCTAAAGTATAGATATTTGAGTTGTTTTTGTCAGCGCGGCTTTTGCTCTTGCATGAATCCCAAGCACTACGTTCCAATAAAAACTGCAGTAGAAAAATCAACTCCTACTACTTGCAACAAGAATTCTCTGTCCAATATAAGCAACCTTTGTCAAAAGCGAGCAAAAGGGTTTTACAGCATTGTTTACAGCTCAGATTCCGATGATGATGCCCCTCTGATATCAATAAAAGAAAAATCTTCCAGCACTTATTTGTCAGAAGAACCTAGCACATCAAAGCAAAATGACGATGCTTTGATTGAGAAGGAAAATATTCATGTTAAAAAAATAAAAGAAGGTATTTGTGTCTTGGTAAAAATTTCCAGTTTAAAACAGGACTATGTATATTTAGGTAAGGCCTTATCTGAAATAGAAGACGATGGTGAGGTCAAAATTATGTTTTTCAAGTCAATCGATCATACGGCTACAAAATTTAAATTAATTAAATCTGATTTATCTTATGTATCTTTTGATAATATACTTGCTATTGTTCCAGAACCTAAAAAAGTCCGTAAAGGTAAAAGAATATATTTCCAATTTGATACTGCTTTAGAGATATTTGAAAAATAATTTTCACTTTCAACTTACTTTTTCAAGAATATAAGATTTTTGTTCTTATATTGTTTATTATAGACCAGTCATGACGTTTATTGTCACTAATATTGAAGTTTATGTTTATGTTTTCAACTCTCAAGCTCAACCAAGTGAAATTTAGTCAAGTAAGATACAAAAAAAGAACAACTATGTTACTGCCGTCCACCTCTGTTACTTTTCTGTCCCAAAGATTGAAAGACATACCAAAGATGTTTATGAAAAGCTAATGATTATAATATGGTAATATAATAATACATAATATGTTAGATATTTATACAGTCATATTTTATAGTTAGCAGTTAATAAATAAATATTTAGAGTATTTCGGTAGAATTTAATATGCGTCAAAATTCAAAAAGTAACAGAGTTGTTTAGAATTAAAATTAATAATTGTTAAACTTAAAAAACAAATGTGATTCTAAATGTGATTATAAGATAAAAGACTTTAATTAACATTGATGCCAAAAAATTTGGTACTAAATTATTTAGTTTCATAATATAAGTTAAAACGTTATTATAACAGAGTTGTTTTATTTTTAGACCCTCACCTACAAAATACGGGATAAATAAAAAATCATCAGTTAAACATCGCGGCCGGC